AAGTAATTTTTTAGATCTAAGTTGAAGGATCAACACTGGGGACGTGGCAAAATCCCACAGTACCTCCTTAAAACAAAGCTTTCAGAATGTAAATTAAAGAACGTATAAGCCAATCTCATAGTAACCATAATTAATAACAATTAACCTTACATCAAAAAACAAATGGAACTAGTAATTGTCCAAATTTAGACAAATTACAACATGATTTGTACTGCGGAACGAAAAAGGCACCACATAAAAACCAGACAGTGAAAGTTTTTGCCTTGTGACGTCAGAGTGCGCCGTTATCTGCTGGGTTTGATGTCAGAATGTGGCCCCTGCCTGCTTTGTGCACGATTTTGATAGGCGCTTCACAGTTAGTCATATCGCCGCCTGGTGGTTTGGCGTGCTCTCACAGCGTTTGATAGCGTGTTTTCATGTAGACAGATTTTCTTTTTTTTAAACAAAGGAGAATAAAAACGCAGGTTATAAAAGTAGCCGCGTCATTTTGTGCTGAGTGGCTCAGATGGTAAAACTGTCTTCAGCCTGTGTGATTTTAGGAAATATCACTTTGAGCTCCAAATCAAAACTTCATTTTAATAAAAAGTTCTGTCTTCTTGACATTTTGAAGAAAACAGGTAAATTTTTCCAGGTTTTTTCTCCATCAGGCGGGAAAATATTGCATAACGTCGCATCAAAAGGGCGTAACGTGGGCGGCTACAGACAATATGAAAATACTCTCACGCACAAGTAACATCATCCGTCACATCCACACCTGCAGCATCGCATCAGTCGGCCCAGAGAAATAAAACAGAGAAACAACCAGAGTAACTTCAACACTGTTGGCTGAAGATAATAAATCCAGCTCATCTGTAGGTGTTAAACTCGTCGTTTCCACGCTGCAAACTTTACGTCACAAAACCGCCTCAGCTGTTCGTTCACAGAGAGAGAACAAAGAAGAGAACGCCGTTTTTTTGGTCATTTTACAGTCAGCAGTCGTTTGTTTGTTCTTGCATATTTAAACTGCGTGTTTTCTTATTGTGCAGAGAAAACCTTCCTGAAAACGTTTTCTTTGTTAGCGTTTCTGGTCGCAGGATGTTTTCAGAACATTTTTCACAAATTACGCTTTGAAAAAAGTGACGGGACAAAATCAGCCGTTTTCAGAAAGTCTTGCGTCCCCAGGGTCCCCGACAGGAAGAGCACTGTTCCAACCTGATGACTTTTAGCTTTTCAACAATAAAGTGCTCCGATTTCTGTTCGACGCCCCAAAAATCAATAAGAAATAAACGTGTGAATCAGAACTTCTTCTTCTTCTGTCCTCTTTAATCACCTCACGACCCTCGGATTATCTGCTGACCTTTCGGAGGGGCCCGACCCCTAGGTTGGGAACCACTGGACTAAACCAGTACTTTTGATACTTAAGTATATTGCTGTACTTTAATAAAAGTAGAATTTATATTGATGGACTCTCAACCTTCCGTACATGAAATGTTTTCATGCACCTGCACTCGGTGTTTCTGGCACCGAGGACGCGGGTCAGTTTGTCCGCAGACGGGTTCTGGTGTGAATGTGGATTAAAATTCAGCGTTACAGTCAGGAGTTTGTGTTCTGTAGCAGCCGAAGCTGTTTTGATGCTTCATCAGAGAGGATCGATATCCCACAATCCAGTTCACCTGACGCTGCTTCATCACGTGATGTAATCAGGTGTGATGCCGTGAGTTGGCCAGCAGGTGGCGGCAGTTACTTCCACAGCGGATGAATCATAAAGAGCTGCGTGGGGCCCAGTCACACCTTCATCAGGTCAAATTTATACAGGTGCGTCTCGGAAAATTAGAATGTCGTCGGAAAAATCAAATTTCCCCATCAGTTAATTTCAAAAGGGAAACTTTAAGTGAAATTTTTCTTCTGTTTTAATCTTGATGATCGGAGCTCACGGAAATCAAAAGTCCAGATCTCAAAATATTAGAATAAAGAGTCTGGTTCAGCTCTCCAGAACTCTTTGACCCGGTCCACAGAGAGCTGGATCAAAGCAGATTCAGGAAGCAGCAGGGACGGCCGCAGCCTGCAGAGGACTGGAAAGCTGGTTCCAGAACTTGGGGGGTGGCTTCAAAAGGAGTGGACTGAGACTGGAGTCATCGAGATCCACCAGGCTCAGACGGGCCCAGGAAATGAGCTGCAAGGTTCACGGTCCTGGTGTCAGCCAGTCCTGAACCAGAGACAGAGTCAGAAGAGTCTTAGCTGGGCTAAGGAGAACCAGAACCGGTGCTCAGTGGTCCAGAGTCCTGTTTTCGGATGAAATCCAGGTCCCAGAGTCTGGAGAGGACCAGAATCCAAGTAGCTTGAAGTCCAGAGTGAAGTTTCCACAGTCTGCGATGATCTAAGGGGGGCCTTGTCCTCTGCTGGTTCTGGTCCACTGGGCTCACTACCAGGAGCCTTTAGAGACTCATCTGCTGACGAGCTTTACGGAGACGCTGGTTTCCTGTTCCAGCAGGACCAGAACCACTAGGAACCGGTCTGCTGACCGTGGCGTTACTGTGATTGGTCGGCCAGCTCACCTGACCTGAACCCTCAGAGACTCTGAGAGACCCTGGACGAGCTGAAGGTCTCTGGCAAAGAACCTGCGGGCTTCATAACAGCTCAGCAGGCTGATCGTCTCCTCGCCGCCCCGATGCAGAACCCGACCTTTACAGGAGGTCCACGTCTCTTTGATACAGTCTCCATGCGAATATTTTGAGAAGTGGAGTTTGGATAAAAAATATTTCACTTTATGTTTAATGAATCTGGAAAATATGAAAGATTCATTTTTTAATTAAATTACAGAAAAAAAGAACTTTCTGAGATGCACCTGTGTAAATAAAATCACTCTCATTTTGTTTACTGATCTGTTTCTGCACACCAATATATTTTGCTGCCATGTGACCGCCGGCAGTCTCCTGTGTGAGAGGCGTCTGGCTGTTTTCCCACAGTACGGTCTGTCAGGATCACAGCCATCACACATGGACACTGACAGGAGGGTTACGAGGTCAGAAGGGGGCGTGGCCTGTCACTGTAACAAGCCAATGATGAGTGGGCGTGGAGATAACGACTGATAAACATCTCCAGCCAATCAGACGGCCCGAGAGAGACGACAGCAGCAGCAACAGGTCCCAGAGGACGGAAGGGTGTTTACTGTGTGATGCTGCTTCATCCTCAGTTCCCACCTCCGTCTGGTTTATCTGATCTGAGGTCTGCACCGCGAGGAGAGATCAGCGTTTTCCCCACCTTTGGTTTTCTGGTTCACAAAGGTCGGTTTATACATGCACGTCGAGTCCACGCCGCATCAGTTGGCGAAGGCTTGCCTACATGATAACACTCTGCACGCAGACACTTTGGTTTAGTAGGAAAGAGAAAACCCAGATAGTGCAGTCCCTGGATCAGGTTCAGACACATGAACCACTAAATGATGATGTAGCTTGGAGCGATAGAACAGGACTGCATCCTGCTCCCCAGTCTGCGTTCCCACTTCTGCCTCCCAGCGGAGTGTTCGGCATAATTCACCTGGTCAGAAAACAAGCGAGACCAGTTTCTTGGTTGCAGGAGAGAAAAAGCTGAGAAATCCTCCTCCCGTCAGTCTCTGATGTGCAAACACCAGAACGAAGGTGTAGAGGGAGGAGAGAACTCTTTTATACACAATCTCCCAGAGTAACTTTATCTTTTGGCCTCCAGCTGTGGAACAAGGGGGGGGTGCAGGATTATGACAGACGGGAGGATGAAGAGAAGAGTCTGTAATCTGCAGCTAAGGGGGGGGGGGGGGTAAACCAGCTGCTGACTGTGACAGAGAGGAAGGTGGGAACTGAGGATGAAGAGAAGAGTCTGTAATCTGCAGCAACATCTTTAAGCAATTAAAATTCTGTTATCCACCTTAGTCTCTGCAGGGGGTTGTTGGGCTGCTGGGAACAGCGGAGGGGGGGCAGACCTCAGATCAGATGAACCAGCTGCTGACAGGTGGGAACTGAGGACGAAGCAGCATCTCACACTAAACCCCCTCCCTCTCTAATTGGAACACGCCCCTTCCCTCCTCTGGGACCTGTTGCTGCTGTCGTCTCTCTCGGGGGGCCGTCTGATTGGCTGGAGATGTTTATCAGTCGTCATCTCTACGCCGCTCATCATCGGCTCGTTACAGTGACAGGCCACGCCCCCTCCCGACAGACCGTACTGTGGGAAAACATCCTGCAGCAGCGTTTTCATTGGTCCACATGTGATTCATGAAGAAATAAATAAAGTGTATATTTCTATGTGAACACGTTCTGTAAACGTTGTGACGGCTGAACTCAGGAACAGCTGATGCAGGACTGACTGATACTGACAGCCGTTTCTCTTATTTTGGACGGGGAGCTCGAGGTCGTTTCTTCAGCCGTGGCCTCAGGGTGTTTGTGCAGTGAACATTGTGACGAACAGTTAACGCCTTCATCATTTTGTTTCTTTTACTGCCTACTGCGACTCTCAGGAAATGGCTGCACCAACATTTTATGGGCGCGAGGAACGTGAAGGAGCAGTTAGGCTTCTTCCTTCCAACAGTGAGGCAGGCGGACCCGGCGGCAGGTCTGAGGGAGATCAGGGTCAGCAGAGCACCGTGCTGGATGTACTGAACAGGTGTGTCTGAAGAGACGGACACGACCTCCGTTTCCTGCTCCCAAAAACTAGGGTGAAATAAACACTCGTGCCACAGAAAGTATTTATTACGCAGCGTATTTATGAAATGAATCACTTTAATGTTGCAGCTTCAGATGATTTAGATTCTGCTGCTGGACTTTAATCTGGAAGAATAATCAGCATTTATTAGATTATCTGCAAAGTGTCTGAAGCTTTAAACAAATGTAGCGCAATAAAAGTAGAAAGTACCAGAAAACAGAAATACTCTGAAGGATCTCAAAGTTTAACGGGTGACTTTCGAGTCTTTCAGAGTCTTTCAGAGTCTTTCAGAGTCTTTCTCTTTAAATGGATTCAGACCTTGAATATAATCTCTGGGATTAAACAGAAACCACTGCAGCAAACTTTTTATTGATCTGTATTCTCACAGAAACATCTCAGATCCAAATAATCTGCAGACAACAAACATCAGGACGAAGTTCAAACTGCAGAAACACCAAAGTTCTTTAACTTAAAGAAACTAAACGTGGTCACTGACTCTTCTGCTGAGACGCAGAACTTCCTGTCCAGCACGACTTCTTCTTCTCTGCCGGCAGAACATTTCAGCTCACTCTGCATCAAGAAAACTCAACCAGACGGTGAAACACTGAAGATGTGAATATCACATCAACTCGGTCCAGAACAACAACATGTTTTACATCAGGCCAGCCGGACTGGACTCGCCCTGCTGGTCTCTGCTGGATCAGCCGGACTGAACTCGCCCTGCTGGTCTCTGCTGGATCAGCCGGACTGGACTCCTCCCGCTGGTCTCTGCTGGATCAGCCGGACTGGTCTCGCCCTGCTGGTCTCTGCTGGATCCAGCCTGTCTGATCAGCTGGTTGCCAGCTCGCCTGGTCCAGGTTCTGCACGGGACCTCTGTAGTCCTGGTCCCCCGTCAGGCTGTCCCAGTCCCCCTCCACTGAACTGTCACAGCTGGAGTTTGGAGACAGCGTCCCCTGCGGCCCGTCCTCCCGCTCCAGGCTCCCCGCTCGGCCCCGGGGGGCCCCTCTGAGGTCCTGGTCTGTGAGCACCCGGTCCAGGAAGCTGATGTACCTGAGGGCGTGGCGCAGGATCTCGTTCTTGCTGAGCTTCCTGTCGGGGGGGTGAGTGGGGATGAGACGCCGCAGCTCGCTGAACGCCCCGTTAACGTTCTGCTGACGCCAACGTTCCCGGCTGTTGGTGGAGATCCGACGGACGACCCGGGGACCAGAACCTGGGGGTGGGAGGAGAGAGCAGGGGGGTCAGCCGGACTCACGAAAACCAGATCTGAGGACACCCGGCCGGCACACAGGAACACATGAAGAAGAAACGGGCAGTACAAGAACAGCTGACTCTAAAATCAGTGTTTTCCTCCATGGAGTCTGGTCTGCGCCGCCAGAGTGACCGGAGAAGCTTTTAATTCTAATCAGTGATTGGCTCTGGTCCCGGGGGGTCTGGCCAATCAGAGCCCAGCTGCTGCTCTGTGGCCTTTATTCATCAGACTGTAAATGTTAAACAGGAACCAAATAATCTGCCAGATATGAAAAAACTAAACTTCACATTCAGTTTTCATCATTTAAGGACAGAAGAAGAAGAAGAAGTTCGCTCGGACCGTCAGGGAGGTCCAGCTCACACGGAGTCGCTCTGAGCTCCATCAGGACGCGTCGATCCGGATCCCTGCAGACAGACAGACGGTCAGAGTCTGAAATCTCCACATCAATAAAAGGAGACCAGTTTCCAGTCAGACCTGGTTCTGAACAGCTGTGATCTGATCGGGTGCAGCTGTTTCCCTGCGGGTCTGACCGGGATCCAGGTCTCCGGACTGACCCCCAGACTGCGGTTCAGCTCGGTTTCCTACCTGTTGCAGGTGAGGAGGTGACGCGCGGCCTCGTGCGGCATGTCTCGTGCAGGCAGCGGAGGACCGGGCTGGATGATCCGGGTTCGGCTCAGCGGCTCCGGGGCAGCAGACGTGCTGGAGGGGTCCGGTGGAGTTCAGAGTCTCCGCCGGGTCCCTCTTTTATACCCGCGTCCCTCTGCGGGTCGTGACGCCTCGTTTCCATGGAGACAGTCCCATTAAAGCCAGACAGAGCAGGACTCCCAGGAAGCTGCACCCCAGGGACCTGCAGGGGCCAGGGGCCGCCTCTCCCCGCCCCGCCCCCCTCCCCGCTGCAGGAGTCGTGTTTTCCGGCGCCTCCTCCTCCGTCACGACCCGGAGCCCCGGAGCCCCGGAGCCCCGGAGCCCCGGAGCCCCGGAGCCCCGGATCCCTGTGAGTCCTGCAGCCCAGATAACTTTCACTGCTGAGCTTTAAACTGCAGGCCAGTAAAAGTACTTTCCATGAGTATTTCTTACATCCCAGAGGTTAAACTGTATATTTTATTTACTTATTGTTTGTGTTTTTTAATCAAAAAGCCGACTGGGGACAAGTGAATCAGCTGTCTGTCAAACTTTATCTATAATAATAATAATAATAATAATAAACTTTGCTCTTTAGGAAGCTGAGAACAGAACACGTGTTTGTGATCACAGGAGCTCTGAGCAGCCTCCGGGGCCTCCGGGGCCTCCGGGGCCCAGAAACCCAAAGAAATGTCTTCAGAATCTGTTGAACCCTGCCGAACAAACCCCGTATCTCCAGGTGTTGGACATCCTCCTTCAGCTGAACGAAATTCAAATTCAATCAGCTTTTCTGGCATGAATGCAGAGCGACAGTACTGGCAGAGCTGCATGTAAATTACACAAGGACAATTCATTTCATTAAGTAAGGACATAAAACAGTAAGTTGGGTTTGTGTGATAATACAAAATAAAATAAATAGATAAAACTGTAGACGTGGTATTAATAGACAAAATAATAATAACCAATTAGTTTATTAAAACAACAATTACTGAAAATCAAACAATCAAAATAATAATAATTTGAAAATCAGTCCAGTTCTTCATTAGTCACTAAAAGGAGCTCAGCACTCAGTGAAGTATTTCTG